CATTTTATACTTCAAATATATACACCAGATATAATGAAGATAATTGAAGAACTACACCTAACTGCTTGTGCCCTGCTCCCCCATGACCATTTGCTCAATATATATTGCTAACTGCTTCTTTTTTCTTTTCACTGGCTATGACTAAAAAGCACTATAAAAGCGCTTTGGAATGCTTGCAGTTGTATTGTTTACTCTCCTGTAATAATTAAAAATAAATGTTAGTTTGATTTAAAAGTTGTCATGTTACCACAAACTGATATTTCTGCTTTGGTTGAAACCCATGGCCTATAAGATGGTTCAGTATATCTACTATGCATAGCAGGTAGACAAGGTGCCTACGCATTCTGTAAGATATTGTGTAGAGCATCCCTTAGCCTTAAAGACTGGGAAGCTTTAATAGGGGCACATTTCCTATATTATGGCTCTGGCCTACTTCTGCCAGCTCCTAGATTTTGGATAGCAAGCCTCCTATCACAATTCAACCAGTAGTAGGCAGAGCTAGTAAGAAGGTGCTTGCTAGAGCTAGTGTCCATAGGTTGCTTTTTTGCTGATTTACAGAGCACCTGTTTTGGACGCTTGGATGCACTTCATAGGAAATCTGCAGGACATCATTAACCTAATCAAATTGAGAAACAGTACTTTTGCCATGATTGTAGGGAAATTGATTTTTTTTATTTCAACAATTATAGAAATGTCATTTACAAATATCATCTGAACTTTTCTTACAATATGCCTAAACAAATCCTTTGAGGGAATCTGTCATTTTACATATTTAGAACAAAGTGACAGGATCCCTTGACAGTCCACCTCCACCCACTGATACTTTTTCTGATCTCCACCACCAATTTGTTCAGCTGTGAGAGCCTTTACTCCCACCAGGACTGAACTCTTTCATCTGGGGCAAGGGAGAAAGTAATTAACTCTATGTAAACTTAGACACAAACCTGATCCTGTGGTTAGCTGCAGGGAACATAGTGGAGGTGAGCATCAGTGGACTGTTGTGTATTAATCTTACTATAGGACATTGATTTTGGTTTCATCTGACTGGAAGACCCATCTGTTCTCATATTCCCAGAAAAAGCATGTTTGAATTCGGTATGGGTGTTATATATATATATTAGTGAGGAAAATTTATTATTTGGTCCCCTGAATATTTTGTAAGTTTGCCCACTTACAAAGAAATGAAAGGTCTATCAGGTGTATTTTAAATGATAGCGACAGAATATTAACCAAAAATCCAGGAAAAACATGATGCAAATGTTACAAAAATTGAGTTGCAGTTCAGTGAGTTAATTAAGTAATTGATCCCCAAGCAAAACATGATTTAGGACTTGGTGGAGAAACCCTTGTTGGCAAGCACAGAGGTAAGACGTTTCTCGTAGTTGGTTACCAGGTTTCCACACATCTCAGGAGGGATTTTGGTCCACTCTTCTTTACAGATCTTTTCTAAATCCTTAAGGTTTCTTGGCTGTCACTTGGCAAACTTGAAGTTTCAGCTCCCTCCATTAATTTTCTATAGGATTAAGGTCTGGAGACTTGCTAGGCCACTCTATGACCATAATGTGCTTCTTCTTGAGCCACTGCTTTGTTCCCTTGGTGGTATGGAGCAGATAGGCCCAATAAAGGATGAAAGCGGGAAGCTAGTCACAAACGACAAGGAGAGGGCCGAGGCGCTGAACGCTTTTTTTCAGTGATTTCAGCAAATAATGTGGAATTGTTCAAGAAACTTTTGGACGATTTCTTAAGGGACCGTAATATACAGGGGTACAGGTACTCCTAGAATGAGATCCTAATAGGTTGGACTTGATGGACTAATGTCTTCAACCTCAAATACTATGTAACTATGTAACCTATGTATGTTTTGGGTCATTGTCATGCTGAAAGACCCATCCACGACCCATCTTCAGTGTTCTGGCTGAGGGAAGGAGGTTCTCATCCAAAATTTTACAATACATGGCCCCGTCCATTGGCCCCTCAATGCGACAAAGTTGGCCTGTACCTTTAACAGAGAAACAGCCCCAAAGCATAATGTTTCCACCTCCGTGCTTGACTGTAGGGATAGTGTTTTTAGGGTCATAGTCGGCATGTTTCTTCCTCCAAACATGGTGAGTTGAGTTATTGCCAAAGAGCTCAATTTTGGTCTCATCTGACCGCAGCACTTTGTTCCAATCCTTCTCTGAATCCATTTAGATGTTCATTGGCAAACTTCAGACGGGCCTGTACATGTGCCTTCTTAAAGAGGGGGACCTTGCGGGCGCTGCAGGATCTCAATCCATGGCGGTATATTGTGTTACCAATGGTTTGTTTGGTGACTGTGGTCCCAATTGCCTTGAGATCATTCACAAGCTCCTCCCGTGTAGTTCTGGTCTGATGGTTATTTTGTATTCCTTCGATTTGCGAATAATCATTCCAACAGTTGTTTCCTTCTCACCAAGCTTCTTGCTGTCAGTCTTGTAGCCCATCCCAGCCTTGTGCAGGTCTACAATCTTGTCGCTAATGTCCTTTGACAGCTCTTTGGTCTTGCTCATGGTGGTGAGGTTTGAATGGAAGAAAGAAATTCTGTGGACAGGTGTCTTTTATATACATAACGAGTTGTCGTCAGGAGCACACCTTCTTAAGTTGACAGGACTAATCTGTGTACCATGGAGCCAGAGTTATTGTTGGTTGGTAGGGGATCAAATACTTATTTTACTCACTGAACTGCAACTAAATTTATAACATTTGTATCATGTGTTTTTTTCTGAAATCAAAACTACAAAAGTTTTAATTTGAATTTTATATACTTGCAGTGGTAAAACTTTAATATAAAACAATATATAATCCAATAGCAGTTAAGAGCAGAAAATGTAGCACTGAAAGTTACTTTTCTTTGTCATAGATGCATTCAGCATAGGAAATGACTCTTGCTCTGCTTGGTAACTTTTCTGTGCTCTGTTGGAACTAACTTTGCATAGTTTCACGCTTTCCTAACATTTTCAGCTAAAATAATGAATATTTCTATAATTATTTTGTTAAAGATATGCTAATTTAATTTTCAAATGTAATGTGTTCAATAAAGAGACCATATTTAGTGTCCACATCTACTTTACATTACAATATAACTACCACAATCAAGTAAATAATGTTACATTTCATTATTAGGATCAAATTCTTACACTGGATCATCAAGTGCGATAGCTGGGAACAATGAAGTTTATAGGGACCCAAGAGACAAGAGAATGAAAAGGTAAACATATGCAGTGTAAAAATTGTGGTATTACAGTATTTAAAGTAATATTTGATATTTAATATTTTGCTTGTTTCATACAGCCAAGATGGAGATCTTTCTACAATCGGGGGAGCCCCAGAGAGTGTGACATTTAAGGAGCGCCAGCGCCTCTTCTCCCAAGGCCAGGATGTGTCCAACAAAGTTAAAGCTTCTCGCAAACTAATGGAACTGGAAAATGAGCTAAATACAAAATGATCCCTGTGTTTTTTACTATAAGGCATCTTATAGTTTAACAAATAAATATATTCATAATCAACGGACTTAAGAGGGTGGGGTGACAAAAGTGTAAAAGGGAGGAATATAAATATATATATATATATATATTTTCTGTAAAGAGTGATTTTATTTTGAGACTGTTAATTCGAAACATAGAGATACTGCAATAACAAGAATGATCTAGTTCCTTCCAAACTGTTTTTAAGGTTTGCAAATCTCAAGTAATATTTATGTGCTTTTCTTGCTATTAATCACGTGGACGCAATAGACAAATTTCGGAATCCTGGCACAAGCTGATATTGATTAAAATAATTAAAAAAATAAAAGAGCCTGTGATGAACTGCTGATGGCATTCCACTGTAAATGTCAATGAACATTATAGTACAGTGGAAGGCTGCACCAAATCTTGTAAATGTTTATTACTTGTTTGCACATTGGATTCTTTTCCCTCCCTTTGTGTCATATCTGTCAAAATATTTTACTGACAGTTTTTCAGAGTACATTTTGGAACAAAGAAATAGTTTGGGGGAGGGATTAAAGGGGGAACTCCACTATACGGTTGCTTTGTTGTCACCGGTGTAAAAATCTGCACATTGGATCTCCAAGGGATGCATTTAATAGACTGATCTTTGTAATAGAAAAGATTTTTTTTTTATAATAAAAATGCATCTGATGTTAATATCTTTAATTGGTTAGGTTTTTGCTTAGACACTGGACTACAATTGATATTTTCCAAGTTATTGTACATTTTACAGTTCTAGCAATTATCTTTCGGATACAGAATAAACAAAAGGTTGAAAATTCTGAAATAAGAGTCAGTACATATTTTTATCACCATTCATGTTACTATGTCAAAGGGGGCGTTATTATTGGATTCACAATCACCCCTGCTTTTAACAATTTTAGGTCCATGAGCACTTGAAAAGACTAAAGCAATAGGGCTATACTTACTTTTCACATTTTATTGAAAAAATTGACTCTCTGAAAGGTCTAGATGCACTCTGCCTCAGTGGAGTTATTTGGAAATATATTTAGCAAGAATTAATTGGTATTGCAGATCTGTATTGAAAGGTTTTGTTGTTATTTTAGAATTTAACATTTTTTCTGTTGCAAATATATGTATAATTGGTCTATGTTTGGACATGAACACATTCTGAGTATTTCGATGAATAGACCTTCAGACAAAGTGTGGTCTTCTTTTCTTTTAAAAGATACAACTGATTAAATTACATTATTTCTAAACGTCAAAGTAAAGTTTGTCATTTTTTAATCTAATTAAGCTAGCGCTTCTTTTAGATTAGTGATATCTGTGAAACTAAAGAGTGAAGGGAGTCCGTTTATTTTTTTGTAAGGAGAACACATGGGTTATAGTTATAAAGCAGTGAATTAGATATTCCTCAAACATTCACTGCAGGTAAATCTTTGGTATATTTTGAATGTTTGGAGATTCTCACATTCACTGCTTGATTATATCCCCCTAAATATACACCTAATTTTTTCACTGATTTATAGATACACAGTCATGTGAAAAGTATGTACACCATGTAAATTGCTCACTTTTTCAACATATTTTAACAGGATAACATTAGATCTTAATTCAAATAGTGGCTACAGATGAACAAAGGGCACATAACAATGACCAGGTGTATTCATTATTATTATTATTATATAGCGCCAACAGTTGGCTCAGCACTTAGCAATTTAAGGTATACATTACAGTTGCAATACTATTCAAGACAAGATGGTAAGGAGGGCACTGCTAATTTCATTGCCTAAATTAACAAATATTCAGATTTGTAATGTGAAAAAAGTAAATACAAATCTTCATTTACCACCACTTCAAACCATTAAATTAGAATTCAGTGTTTCAGATTAGATGCCAAAGACTACAAACTCCTTGGGGAGTATGCAGGTGGAACCTGTCTTAGGCTGGGCACACACCTTACAACCATCGCAAGACTTTTTTCTTGCGATGGTTGTAAGGTACTTAAAAAAACGTACGATCTGCCTATCTTGCATAGGCAGATCGTACTTGGGATGATCGCAAGCCACTACGAAGCCGTACGATGCTCGGCGGGTTTTTCGAACATGTCCGTAAGTTAAAAGTGGTGCAACCTTACAGTAGTAGAGGTCGCACGGCTTCCACACACCTTACGATAATCGTACGATCGCGGGATTTCCCGCGATTATCGTAAGGTGTGTGGTGACCTTTAAACCTTAGACATTTAGGGTCTGGTGTTCTCTTTGCTTTTACTATTGGCATGTATGGTGTCATTTTACCAAGATCACTAGAGCTCTAAGGCCCACCAAATAAAGATGTTGATGCCTATGATTCTATGGCAAGGGATTTAAAAAGATTGTCCAATTACTTAAAATCAGTCATGCCACTGTAAGGCAAATCTACAAATGGGGTACATTCCAAACAACTGCTTATTTGTCAAGGACCGGCTTGCCCAGCAAAGCCAACATAAGAGCTGATGTTAAGTCTCAAAGAACTGAGTTTGATGCTAAAAGGTTTTCAAGAACGCCAAAATTAATTGTGTGGTGTTCCTGTAACACTAGCAGCAGTTGGGTTCAAAATGCCATGCATCTACAATCGGAAAAAGATTGCTCCAATTGAACCACCTGCATTGGAGGTGTGTTCCGAAAAAGGCACTAGAGGTGCTACTGCAATCTCTTTTTCTGCAGCCCCTGTTATAAATGAACAGGAAGCCTCTATACTGAGTATTCCTGTTCATTTAGAACATGTGGATATAGTGAAGGGAGTTTATCAAAACTGGAGCATACAAAATCTGAAGCAACTGTGCATGGCAACCAATCGGCGCCTCTCTCTCATTTTCAAATCTTAACTGAACAAACTGAAGAGAGAAGCTGTTTGGTTGCCATGCACAGCTACTCCAGTTTTGATAAATTCACCTCAGTGTGTTTACTATAACCACAATAATTAATGAACAGGAGGTTATGTAGATCACTTTCCATATATTCATAATTGAGGATATAGTAAACATACTATGTCCTTATGTACAAACACTCAGCGATCACTGATTATATTTTTAACTTCAACCAAAAAACAGACTGTGTAAACATAAATCAAACAAATCCTTTTGTTATATCCATAATAACATTGATTGAATAGTCCAAATCTGTGATTTCAATTGTGTATTTCTCACAGAGTGATCAAATTTCCCACACATGAGATTAGGGAACAATTTCCCACTTATGAGATTAGGGAACTCTTTCTTGCACAATGCTCCTAAATGTGCTCTATGTTACACTCGCCAGATATCTGCTAGAACTTGCTTTCATAGTCCGATGTAGATCCAACTAATTCCTCTCCTCTGTTAGTCTATGGGCACCTCTCGCGAGGTTCAATCTCCTGATCACCGATTATTTTTGCTGTTAATCTCCTTTATTTGGACTATTCAATCAATCTTTCCTCATTTCCCTCCTCATGTATCACTTCCCCCTCCCTTTTAGATTGTAAGCCCTCAGGGGCAGGGCCCTCCTTACCATCTTGTCTTGATTTGTATTGTGATTGTAATGTCTTCCCTATATTGTAAAGCTCTGCGCAAATTGTTGGCGCTATATAAATCTTGTATAATAATGTTATTATGGAAGCACACAATTGAAATCACAGATTTATTTCGACTATTCAAATGATGTTATGGATATAACAAAAGGATTTGTTCGATTTATGTTTACACGGCCTGTATTTTGGTTGAAGTTTAAAATATTCAGCATTTATGTAAGAACACGAAACTCAGAACAGTTGGATACATTTTTGTTTATATATTTTTTCACGCAAGGATAATCTGGAGCCTAGCACAACACAGTAGTTATTGTTTTTTGGGTGTTTTCACCAAGGTTTTGTTGCAGCTGGTAACATTCATTCACATAAATCCTAGTGCAGCCTTCACTAATATCAATAATTTGTAGTTGACCACCTCTTTGCTGCTAAAACAGCTTCCAGTCTTTTGGGAAGGGTTTTCTACAAGGTTTCCTAGTGTTTCTATGAGAATTTATGCCCATTGAGCCAAAGGGGCATTTGTGAGGTCAGGTAGTGGTGTTGGACGATAAGACATGACTCGCAGTTGGCGTTCCAATTCATCCCAAGGGTGTTCCATTTGAGTGAGGTGTAAGTTCTATGCAGGATACTTGAGTTCCTCCATATTAAACTGACTGGACCTGGCTGTGCGATAGCAAGCGTTAATTAGATGGTATTGTGCAATTAATGCAGTACTATGGTGTAAACGGGCCCTTAAGCAGAAAGCAGAGTAATATCACTAAATTAGCTAAGTATCCCTTAAGTGGCTCATTTACAAATCACTACATTTAATAGAATACCAAAGAGTTTGGAGGTAAGTGTTACCTTTTATTGACTGACTTAATAAAGTTGCAAGCTTTTAGAATGCATTAGACCCCTTCTTCAGGCTTTATGCTTAATACTAAGTATGTTAAAGCTTAAGTTATGAAAAAATATTTTGGATTAAAAAAAAATTGTATGAAAGTTGTGCTTATTGAAAATAAAAAATACCTGTAAGAGAAACATGAAACATCAAGGTAAGTTACTTCAAGCTGTAACAGAAGCGGAGCAAATATAAATGTGTGTTTTTTTTTATTATTATTTACTTATTTATTTGAGATGTTCAGCTAAACTATAATGAGCAACATCTAATGGCTTTGGATTTCTCTTTTATATAGCCTAACAGTGTCTTTCTGTATTGGTTAATAATTCTAATAGTTTCCTTGTCTGAGCAGATCTTTCCAAAAAGACATTGAATATAGCACGGTTTGCAAAAGCACACAACTGCACAATGTGAGGTTACAATTATTTTAAAAAATTGAATATCATTCTAACCAAGTGCCTGAATTCACAATTTTCTGACTGGCTATTTGTTAAATCAATATGTACAGTATCTGTACAAATGTGGACAAATATGTTGGTACCCTTCCCAATTAAAAAATAACCCACAATTTTCTCTGAAATAAATCTGACCAAAGTAATTGACATCCCTCTTTGTTTATTCCATATTTATGAAACTCACATTTTGTTTTTGATGCCACAGAATATTTTAAATGATAAAACAAATTAAAATGGCATGGGCACAAATGATGGGATGCTTAACCTAATATTTTGTTGCATAAGATTTAGAGGCAATCACTGTACACAAACAAACCATTTTTGTAGCTCTAGTTGTTTGGCCCACTCTTGTGCAAACTGCTCCAGCTGTCTCAGGTTTAAATGGTGCCTTCTCTGGACTGCATGTTTCAGCTCTTTCCATAGATGTTCAATAGGATTCAGATCCTGG